ATCTGGATTCCTTTCCATGCAAACACCATCTAAACAGGCCCTCTTGGTACCTCTTCTCCTGCCTAATTTTTTTAACTAAAGGCAAAACCAGACTAACCTTAATCTTAGTGTTCTCTTTTCTTGTCACTTCACTTAAAGTTGATGTTGTTTTGTGAGTTTGTGATAATAAACATACAAATGAGCATTGATGGCTCAACTGTCATTTTAGGGCATTCAGACCTTTGAATTTTGTAGAGTAATTCCCTATTAGTCATCTTTGCACTTAGAAGACTGACTGACTGAACTGCACACTGAACTCTTTACTTGGTATTGCACACACTGTGAAAACACACATAACTGAAAAGTGTGTGGGGAAAAAAGGTACCAATTATGCCAACGCTGAATGACTGTAATAACTTACCTTCGGTATTAAAGCCAACTAAATATATGGCAGAAGGATTTCTGTGTGGTATGGATTTCTGTGTGATTTATCAACCCATAGTGTTGAGGCAAAATAGCTCTCCCACACCTACCTGATTCTTTGCTTCTCCTGGTATTAACTGAAGCTGTAATTCATTTTCTAACAATATCAGTCTGCTGCCATGGAGAGGTGTAGTATCAGGTTCACAATGCTCATACAGAAATAAGATTTGGAGAAATCTAAGCTGGCTCCTACATACCAATGCCTTTGCTAATTAATACAGGGAGAACCTAAACTGGACTTTAAGGTCTCTGATTGTACGGAAAACTCATAATTGTATCCAACCTCTACTGCGCAGGGCCTTGTCTGAACTGAAAACAGAACAGGATAAATTAACACAGAAAGTTGGAAACAGTGAATAGTTTTGTGTTTGGCATATTTGATTTTAGAAATCACTTCTCTAGCACCCAGCACAGTATTTCAGGAGCCAAACTTCTACTTAAAAACAATTAAAAGTGAAGTCCCTTAGTAGACTGTCTGTTAAATTGTAATGCCTGAAAAATGAAGATGTGCATAAACAAGTTGTCTATTTGTCTGTGCGTATGCATATATATATACCTTCGAAAGGAATATTCCTCCAAGCTCCTGGTCATATGTAGAAGAAAGTCAGGAAGCAGCAGCAGCAATGCTGCAAATCCTATTATTCAGATTCACCAGGGTTAAAATGCAGAAATGAGTATTTTCTGCAGAAAACTACAGAACAACAGCTAAAAACCAGGGCTCATGCCCTCTTGGCAGTTCTTTTTTAAATTCTGGCAATTTCTGCAGAAATTTAAGCTTGTTTTACTCTGTTTTTGTAGCAGAAAGTTTTCTTGAGATTGGTTTACTACCTACACAAGAAAGAAAAATCATCATGTGCCAGACAGCATGTAGTTGCCTACTCTCTGGCCTTCCAGAAAGCTGCCTTGAAACAATAGTAACAGCAAAAGTACAGCACAAGCTGGACCACTCTGTGTTTAATTAACCTAAAATGAGAAATCTGTTTTTTTCAAAGCCAGTTTCGGAACTATTCAAATGATAACATTATAAAGGTAGGTAGCCTTTACACAAACACAGGGGGTCAAGGTCTTTTAAAAAGCAAGACCTTTGTAATGAACCTTTTCTTTCACACCACTGTTCCGCATCTGTATTGGGCTTTCTGCCCTTCCAGTGAAGACATTCCTCTTAAACTGCCAGGATATAAGGATCCGGGAAGCTGCCACCAATGGTCACATGCATGTCTGCCTTTGAACAAACGGTGGTTGTATCCCCTGAGCACCTCTGGTGTAAGTTAACAGGCATATATCATGCTTCTGGCAGGGAGCTACTATGAGTGGCAGATTCATGCCAGAATGGTCTCTTCTGGAAGGGATGTTAGGTGTTCTGTTACCCAAGATTTCATCTTCTAAAGGGATCTAATACTTTTTGTTCTGCATATTAAGTCTCTTGTGATTTAAGAAATCTATGTCCTTGATTCTCTGAACAAAGCATGAGAGGGACAATTACCTAGTAATTTTCCACATTCTCAAAGTCCTAAACAATGAAAGTTCAAAATCTCAACTAGCATAACTGGGAACACTTTATGCCTTATTAAGAAAGGAGAAGACTAACAACAATTCTTTTAAAAAAGCAGCAGTAGCCAATAACTTGTTGCTGGATATATCCAGTTTTTATCACAAGACCAGACTTACATAAATTGAAAAATGATTTGGCTTTTTGCATCTTAAATCCTATCCAGGTATGCTCAAGGTTTTCCGCTCTACAATCTGCAGGTTGAATTAGCTCCTAGTGCAATGAGGCTTGCTTGGATGCAGAGTATGTGGCAAGTATTTATCTGCTAAAACTCAACATGAGATAGAAAAAATACAGAAATAGCCTGCTTTTCACTTTAGTTGAAATGACTGAAAAAGAAAGTAAGCTTGAACTGTTACTAATACTTGTCCAAAACTGTAATGCTCATGTATTCAAAAGCTATACCATGTTAATATGTTTGTATCACAAACACAAAGCCAGCATTCATATCATGTATTAATCATGCCCTCAGCCAAATTATTATGTAATGATGCAGTTTTGGTTACCACACCTCCTTTATGTCCACTGATTAAAATCAACTTGCCAGGTAACATTTTTAGCTCCCAAATTAATAATTTCCTAAAAAAATTAAAAAAAAATAAAAAATAAAAATCATAACTTGAACAATAATCAGAAATTTTTAATTGTGCAACAAGAATAGGTTTTGATTCTTAGAAGCAGCAGGAAGACAATGAAGTTCATACCAGACACAGCATTTTTTAGGATACATGTAAAATTGTTAATAATAACTTGCAAAAGACTAAGAAATCTGGCAATAAAGTAGCTGATCAAATTAAAAGTTGATACAAAGATAATAATGCAAAGAGAGAAAAAAAGAAAACAAACATAGCCTGCATATGCACAGAGATGTGCTTTTTATAATGCATTGACATTTTTCAGTAAGATACTGAAGACTGTTTTTGTTTCTTTGAAAATGATGGCTCAGCAGCTGATCATGGTCAAAAAAAAAAAACAATGAAACATCAGGGACTATTATGTAAGGCATTGAGTACAAAATGCTAGATAAATACATGTCAAAATACATTTGTGCACGGTTTGTGTACCATTGTCTTTAAAATATCTCCAAGGTGGTTGCATTGGTCACACTGAAACATCAAGTGTTTGTTTCTCAGTGTCTGGCAGCATCTGCATCCAGGCACCAGCACCTAGCCACTTGGTAGGTTTAAAGATCAAAATTCAATTCACAGGCAGCCTTTACTGAGTTGAAACTTCAGTGACAATGAACCACAGTGGATTGTACTGTGAAAGCCGTCTGCCCATCTTCCAGGCACTGATTTTTATTAATTGGACTTAAACCCAAATACTCACATGGTTTATAAAACACATTACATCTATTGTTACTACTGTGGCCATTATTCCCATTTGTGGCTTGTGCTACCTACAATGCTGACACAAGTCTTGGTGTTTGAAACATCAGGCTAGGATTGGCCCAAATTTGCAAGCACAGTGAATATCATCTGAATATGTACTATAACCCACAGCAAATAGCCTCTTTTCAAATAAGTGTCAGTTTGGGGCTGTCTTGAAATGTCTGACACCACCTACTTTAACAATACACATCAATAAGGCCACTTATTGCTTACATGCTTTGCTGAATCAAGGTCAGCATACTCAAAACTTACAAGGATCAAGTCTAAAGTTTGACTTTACTTTTGACATAATAGGTCCACATTTTTTCTAACAGTATTTTTCACAGTATTTTTCTGACCTTCCAACCTAATCCTAGGCTGTGGTACCAGACATGGCATAACATAAAGGATTTATGATGATTACTTTGGAACAACCTGCACACTCTGTTTCCTGGTTTTGCTCTGGGGAAGTGATGTTCCCACCACACACTTATGCTAAGAAGCTTCTGTACCATGCCATCACCCAGCCAGCTCCATCCAAGTTGATAAACAGTCTGAGTAGCAAGGTAATGACTTCAAAGCATCTCACGAAGGTGGCCTATTTCACTGCTACATTCTTAAACAAGTAAACTGGAACAACTGAAAAAGAAAGTTAATGTATCTACTAAACTGCTAAATTTAAAACTTGGAAAGTTTCCTATCTGCTTCCTTCCATTTCAGAGCACAGTGAGTTAATGAGGCCTGACTCTTTGGCACTTGTCCATTTAAATGGCACAGATTTACCTACCTAACAAAGCCCTTTTGTTTCCTACAGCTGTGAAATTTCAGTGCAATATAACTTTTCATGTTTCCCAGGTTACCTTGGCACCAAACTGTGACTAAATGCCTGAAAAAGATTTTTAACTCTAGCTTTGGAGGAATATAATATACACAAGAAAGAATGATGGCTTTAAGCAAGTGCCCCATGGTAGCAAGAACAATGCTGGAAATTAGCTGTGCTTCAAATGGTCACAAAGCTTCTGAGCTGCTGAAGCTGAAGAGAGAACTGCACTCTCTGCTCTGCTCAGTTACAGACTGCACCACACTTGTCTTTTTTTCTATTACCCTTCTGTCTGTTCAGCTACATCACCCAATGCAAAGGGAGGAAGTGTCTATGAAATCTTTTTAAAAGAGTTCATCGTAAGGAACTCCTGTATTTGAAGAATCTCTAAATTCTGGTGCTGATTTCCTGCTCCATGGGAAGAAATTAAATTTGTCATTGATTCCACAAGGGCAGGAAGCAATTCCAAGCACATGCACACATGCTGTTAAGAAGACACCTTAAAGCAGAATATAACTTAATGTAACTCCTTTGGGAAAATATCCTTCCCATTTTTTAGTGGCTGCAGAAGATCCTGGGTTGATAAAATGGGAGTAAGTCTGTGTCATATAGGACATGAGAAAATATAGGATTTAGCAGACAGCAACATGATGGGTAAAATACTCACAAGTATTGTTCTACAATTCTTAATGTGTGAGTTATTCCCTTCTTTAGTGAATGCAACTGAAGCAACAAATCCTGAGAATGTTTCCTTGTCCATACTCTATGCAAACGTAAAACATCACCTAACACCGCAGTTAAAAAAATGAACTTTTTTTTATTTGTTATTGTTACCACAGCACCAAACCATGTCATAAGCCATGTTCCCAATATATTAACCACCTACATTATGCAGAATAACAAACAGCCCTTGCCTGAAAGGACCAACAGTGTAATTGAATAAATTTATGGAAAACTCAGGCCCAAAGCAGGTACAATGAAAATGTCAATGAAAGAGGCTTTGGCAGTAGCCATTGTAGAATTCCAAGATGACATCTGGCATCACTGGAGTCGGTTGCAAAACTCCCATTATCTTCAGTGAAACCGGGACTGAAAACGTAATGCTTTTATTTATTTCACAGTCCTTTGCTCATGCAACTCAAACCTAGCATTTTGTAAGTTTTCTTATTTCTACTTCTCATTCTTTTGCACTAATCACATTTTTACAGTACTTTATAAGCTGATACTTTTTGAATAACATAATTAGGATACATCTATGTATAATTCTATTAATCTCTGCCCAAGTTCACTAAAGTATGAAATCTTTCACAAATATTTTACACTGCAAGGCATTTTCACAGTATGTCTTGCTTTGCTTTGAAATATTATTTCAATGCTTCTTGTTCTTTATCCTGCATTTCTACTGGTGCATTTACTAAGACTTGGTTTTCAGTTTTAAGTTTCTTCTTTAAAATAAGGAGAATTACTGCACTTGGGATATAGGACACTCCACGTAATATTGCTGGCAGGCCGAGATAGAGCCCCCTGAAATAAAGGATAAGCCTTATTAAATATATGCATTTGTAAAGAAACAGCAAAAGTGTTCCGCATACATTGTTTTGTAACAATTGCCCAGCCACTAGAAAGCTTGTGCCCTCAGCCTTTTGGATCTCACAGAAGACAAATCAATAGAAGAACAGAAACTATGTCAGTAGCAACAAAACAGTTACTTAGATGACCCATATTCAGGCAACTAATTTAGGCAGCAAAGTTAGCCATCTGGTACCCTATGGATCTCTCCGCAGGTAAAAGAGAGAGCCCTAAAAAGACTAGCTCAGACCACCTAAGTAAAATTACTGGGTATTCATGAACTAGCATTTTTCTTTTAAATCAAACTCAACACAATACTAAAAGGAATCACCCTGAGGTCACTATTCAACAAGACTTTTCTTCAGAATTTCCACATTGCTTGTTGAAGGACTACAAAAGCATGACCATAGTATCCTGGGCTCATTTCCAACTTGGGCATCTATATCCTCTCCTGTATTTTAATTCAAGTACTATTTCAACCATTTTCAACCATGATTTTGCATAGTCACCACTTAACAGTTTTCCACAAGGGCTTACTGCTTTTTTTTTTTTTTTAAATCAGAATTCAGTGTTTTAAGATGTGTTCTCATGAAAGGCTATTAATGAAGTAATTATGGCACCAGAACATTTCTGTTCAGAGGGTGTTCCAGCATCTGTGGCAAAGGCTGCACTTGACAAATAAAGTTAATGCCAAAGAAAAAGTGTTGTGTCAAATCCCTAACATAGGAGCAGTTGGTCTATTAGGAAAATATAGACTGCAAAATTATATCTCTATGAATGTAATAATACAGTAAGCAGGAAAAATTAAAATAAAGTAGAAAATATACCTGTATGCGACAATGTCATATATCCTACATGCTCCTTCTCCACCACAAGTCATAGTACCCCACTTTAAGCAAGTCGTATCTATCAAAGCTCCAAAATAGATGGGAGATGGGATTCCAGCTAAAAAGAATATTAGCAACACCTCTGTGAGTAGCACATTTCTTCTGATTAGCAGATACACTATAGAACCTATGCGGTTTCTCACCTCTCACAGTCCGTCTGTCCTGTCCTCTTGCAGCATGAACCGTGTTCTCTGTATTTCTTACATTCTCTCTTCTTCCTTATCCACCTACCCTCAACCACAGATTTTCTTTCCTGTTGTTTACAATATATATATGCTACAATATGGACTGTGATTTCTATTCAAAACAGAACATCTTCTCTCATTAGTCAGTGTTGCGTTCAATGAACGTACAACAAGGGTGAAGGAATGTAAAATGTCTTTCAGATGAGCAGACAATATAGTCAGCCTATTTCCCAGTATAAATGCAAACTGAAAGCTGTTTTAATTTGCCACACTGCCTAGATCTGTAAAAAGCCAAATTCCTCCTGGTCAAAGGCACTACATAGTAGACTCCATAATAGACTGCTGTGTTAAGCCCCTTGAGCTCTAGATCAGACCTAACTGTGCTTCTAAAGTGTGTTAAAGCTTTTCTTACCAAATACTCTTGAAGCTAGTCCATGGATGCCCACTCCAAATGACTTTTCTTCAGGCGTTAGAGACCTATGTATGTGATAATTACATTTTACACAAGTTAGCAGAGGAGACATTAATAAGAGATGTTTACCTCTTGGTTTTCTTTTTCTTTTTCCATTTTTCTTTCCCCAGCAAACTATCACATTAGGCCCAAATCATTATAATTAGAGCATTGGTTGGTTCATTATCCTCATTAGTTGACACTGAAGTTCCTTAGCTAGGACTGCCAAATTCACAAAAGGAAAAGCAGTTGTCCTGGTATCATCCACTTGGGCTGAAGTCAGTGCAAAGTGCAAGATAGTTATGCCTCAACCAGCATCATGTGGATGTCATCAATCAAGACATGGGTATCACACACAACTCTCAATATCTTGGTGCACTGACTCTACACTAATTAAGGATACAGCTGATAGCCAGAAGCAACAGGTTATAAAGCTGACACTAAACCTTAACACAGTACAGAAATGACATAAGATTGTCACAGTATCACACAGTATCACAGTATGTTAGAGATTGGAAGGGACCTCGAAAGATCATCTAGTCCAATCCCCCTGCCGGAGCAGGAACACCTAGATAATGTTACACAGGAATGTGTCCAGGCGGGTTTTGAATGTCTCCAGGGAAGGAGACTCCACAACCTCCCTGGGCAGCCTGTTCCAGTGTTCCGTCACCCTCACTGAGAAGAAGTTTCTTCTCAAGTTTAAGTGGAACCTCTTGTGTTCCAGTTTGTACCCATTACCCCTTGTCCTATCATTGTTTGCCACTGAGTAGAGTCTGGCTCCGTCCTCGTGACACTCCCCCTTTATATATTTATAGACACTTATAAGGTCACCCCTCAGTCTCCTCTTCTCCAAACTATAGAGACCCAGCTCCCTCAGTCTTTCCTCATAAGGGAGATGTTCCACTCCCTTAATCATCTTCGTTGCCCTGTGCTGGACTCTCTCCAGCAGCTCCCTGTCCTTCTTGAACTGAGGGGCCCAGAACTGGACACAATACTCCAGATGCGGTCTCACCAGGGCAGAGTAGAGGGGAAGGAGGACCTCTCTCGACCTACTAACCACCCCCCTTCTAATACACCCCAGGATGCCATTGGCCTTCTTAGCCACAAGGGCACAGTGTTGGCTCATGGTCATCCTGTTGTCCACTAGGACCCCCAGGTCCCTCTCCCCTACACTGCTAACAGGTCGTTCCCCAACCTATACTGGAACCTGGGGTTGTTACTGCCCAGATGCAGGACTCTACACTTTCCCTTGTTATATTTCATCAAGTTACTCCCTGCCCAACTCTCCAGCCTATCCAGGTCTCGCTGGATGTCAGCACAGCCTTCTGGCGTATCAGCCACTCCTCCCAGCTGAGTGTCATCAGCAAACTTGCTGATAGTACACTCAATTCCCTCATCTAAATCATTGATGAATATATTAAATAATACTGGTCCCAGTACTGACCCTTGAGGCACTCCACTAGTTACAGGCCTCCAACTAGACTCAGCCCCATAGACTACAACTCTCTGGCTTCTCTCCTTCAGCCAGTTTGCAGTCCACCTCACTACCTGATCATCCAGTCCACACTTCCTCATTTTAGCCGTGAGGATGCTGTGGGAGACTGTGTCAAATGCTTTGCTGAAGTCAAGGTAGACCACATCCACCACTCTGCCATCATCCATCCACCGTGTTATTTCCTCATAAAAGACTAAGAGATTGGTCAAACATGATTTCCCCCTGGTGAAGCCATGTTGACTGCCCCTCATAACCCTCTTATCCTTGATATGCCTTAAGATGGCACTAAGGATAAGGTGTTCCATCACTTTCCCAGGGATGGAGGTGAGGCTGATGGGTCTATAGTTACCCGGGTCCTCCTTCTTGCCCTTTTTGAAGACTGGAGTGACATTTGCTTTCCTCCAGTCCTCAGGCACCTCTCCCGTTTCCCAAGACTTGGTAAAGATGATGGAGAGTGGTCTAGCAATGACCTCCACCAGTTCCCTCAGCACCCGCATGTGCATTCCATCTGGACCCATGGATTTATGGATGTCCAGATTGCTCAACTGGTCTCTAACCCATTCCTCATCGACTAAGGCAAACCGCTCCGTCGACCTGACTTCATCTAAGGTCTCAGGGGTACAGGGCTCTTCAGGACTGCCTGCAGCAGAGTAGACAGAGACAAAGAAGGCATTCAGTAACTCTGCCATCTCTTTATCTTCTGTCACCAGGGCACCCATCCCGTTCATCAGTGGGCCTACATTGCCTCTGGTGTTAGTTTTGTCTGCCATGTATTTAAAAAAGCTCTTTTTGCTGTCCTTGACCCTTCTCGCCAGGTTTAATTCTAAGGATGCCTTAGTCCTCCTAGCTGCCTTCCTACATCCTCTAGCAGCAGCCTTATATTCCTCCCAAGTGGCCAGCCCCTCCTTCCATGACCTGTAAACTCTCCTCTTCCACTTGAGCATACCCAGCAATTCCCTATTTAGCCACGCATATTCTTCCTCCCTTCAAACACAAACCAACATACTTTTAACTCTTGAGGGTGTTTGGCCTCAGAATAAGAACTCCAGTAGTTTTCTTATGATAAGGACATTTTACTGTACCTTATCAAGACCATGTATCCAGGCATGGCTGCTAAGGAAAAAATGAAGCTGCAGACTAATGACAATATTAAAAAATAATGAAGCATCTTCTCACAGTTTCCTTCTCCATCACATTGGCCCAGAGTTGCAGAGATATTTTGAGATGAAAACCCTGAGGCTGCAACACAGGTGCAGTTTTCAAATACCTGTCAAAAGAGTATTTTGATCACACAGATTGTCAAAACTCACGCACCAAATGTGAAACATGCACAGCTAGCACCTAGCTCCCTCTCTTCTGAATGTGTATGTTACACATGTGCAGCACTGCACTGCAGCCTCTTCCCCTGTCTGCCAGCACAGGTCCAACCATCATCTGTATGCAGCATATTGGGTTAGAGAATGAGAGAGAGCTATGGTCTTATGCAGATGGGTGAGTGGCTCCTCAAGTAGGACATGATCAAGAGCGCCCTCATTTTTAGTACAGTTATGTGGACGTTCCAGTTCCAACAGGTCTGACTCTCTTTTTCATAATATAGTGTCTTCTTTCACACTCCAGAAGAAACCAGAGATGTTTGATTGAGGGTGGGTTGCAACATTCTCACTCAAACACTTGATTCTACTGAAATCATTGAGACTATTGCTACAATAAGGGCTCTCAAATGTCAGCCAAAGTGTTCAAGGGCATCAGTACCTGGCCCTTATTGTTACCTAATACTTCCCTAAAATATTTGTAAAATAGAGGCTTTCTAATTCCTGTATGATTTGGCATTTATTGAACTCATTATTTTTTATTGGTTTCAATCTAATTAGAACTTATAAATTTTTCTTGTGGATAATGTATCGTTGATTAAGATAATTAAAGTTCTGTAATACCCAGTTACTTATTTAACTCTATAGGGTAAAAGAGATTATTAAGTTCATGCTAAAGAATTTAATTTTAGCTGAAATATTCTTTGGTACTCAGGTTTCTAGCTGGCAATACCCTGAGAATAATTTCTTATTCCATTCTGATCATTTAATACTCCTTTGATTATTACAAGAAAAGGAGGCTTCTTCATTGTATTATTTAATTTAAACAAACTAATTTTCATATTCAGTTTGGAATTTCTGTTGCCACTCAAGGAATTTTTCCAACTTTTATGTATCACCTTGTATGTCCACTTAAATGTACATGCATGGATATTTCCCAGCCTATATTGACATGGCTATTTCTCACCTACTATATTTCATAGTTACAGCACAATAAAATGTATGCTTTACCATACTCTTTCCAGTTCCTCTTGAGGATTTACACCCAGCAAGACAAGGCGACATGTAAGTGATTCCATTGTTCCCACAAACAGGGTCCCATATTTTAAGTGGGCAATCACAGTCCCTGTTGCAGCCAGCAAGTAGAGTACTTTCTGTGTAAGAAACTTGTTCTATTCTGAAATACATTTAGAAAATTAATAAATATTTCAGTAATGAAATACCTACAGTAACCTTTTGAAATGCTTAAGGCTCTATTCTAGCTCACGTGTTGATCCAGGACACAATCCTACATAATCCTATCCTACAGCTGTACCTTTTTATTTTTCCGTAGGATGTTTTATTATATTAATATTATCAAACCATAGATAGGTATGCATACCCTTCAGCATTTTTCTTATCTATGCATATATGTTCTTCATTGTCTATAAGCATCATATATTTTCCTACTTGTGCATTTTACAGACACACAACCCTGCCCAGTGATTAATGGCAGGCTTCAAATCAAGATGAGACGAAATATCCTCTGATAACTCAATAGCAATCAAATTCCAATAAATCAGCATAAGATAGTGTTTTGTCCCTCTGTAATTCTGAAATTGTATTCCTGTATGCCTAATTTGACCAACTTTTTCTTTCCACCTGCAGTTACATGACTTGAATGTGTAATTACATAAAGTATCAATATGGGCATGTAATTGCGTGATTCTTGATGTGGATATCTTTTCTAATACACTTTAATATTCAAAACAGGGATAACAGAAGACAAACCTACTGTCTCATACAAGTAAAAATCCTGGAGAATTTAGACCACTAAACTAAAATGTTGCAAAGGTATGGATTCCCTGGCTAATTCTTGACGAGAAAAATCATTCTGGTGTCTTAAGACCTAAGTCTTCTTGTGCCTTACCCTTCATAGGAAATTGTAAGGCCAGCAACTGGTGAAGTATCACAGATAGTCCAATAGGCACCAAAGTAGAGAAGGTATTCCAGTAAAGATACCCAAAATGCTATTTTCGCAGCCAGATAAATATTTATCTTGAATTTCTTCATGAATAAGCCTCCAAAAAAATACCCAACACATATAACTGGTAAGTTGTAAACTCCTATTTAAACAAATGAAAATTCCATGTTAAAATAAAGGCGAACATCAAAGCCATTCATAAGGGAAGACCCATACAGTGCCTGTGACTGAATTTAACTACAGTGAGAAATGAGTCTCTAGTTCCCTTGCACCTCCAAAACATCTGCCAAATTCAACAGCAGTTGGGAACAGCTTGGAGAGGTGCTAGACAATAGGACTAAAATGATTCGTTGGGAAATTGCAATCTAGAATTGCAATCAAGTTCCAACACACATGCATACACATACACACACACACACACACACACACACGCACAAAGCAGTGTTTCAATACAGCCTCCCTAGCTGACAGAGAAACTCAACAGGAAGACAAGCTGGTGGAGCACATTTTGGTGCACCCTGAGCATCACAGAAAGGGAACAAACTTTCAGTTTTTATATGGGATTACTGAACATGCTCTGATGTTTCTTCGCTGTTTGATACTTTAATGAAGACTGAAAGACATTTAGGAAGTAGTTTTACACATGCATCATATGGTTTGGTTGGCTTTGCCCAAGACAATGTTGGTTCTCTAACAACACCTGACTCTGGGTGGGCATGGAGAATGAGGGGAAAAGGGAAGACTGAACCTGAATTTGGATCCTCTCACTTTAGCATGTATTTCAGTACAGAAAATAGTCTATCTGAAAAACAACCCAGCCATGCAGTGTCAAAGCAACAGAGATATGTGATAGGTACAAGACTTTGGATACACAGCTTCAAACACTGGTGACAGAGGGCAGTAATAATACTCATCAGGTCTGGGATATTCTGTGTGGCAGATTTTAAAGAAAATGGTGGAGCTACTGTGAAAGATGAGCACTGAGTTAAGTTTCCTACCAATTCTGCGCCAATTCAAAAGATGGGAAGTTGATTATAAAATTCTACACAGAAAATTCAGAGATGCTTAGCAGAAAATGCATGATTACTTGGAAATATTTTGTGGTGTGGACTCTTAGCTGTAGAAGCATTTGACCTTAGTACGCATATGTATACATGTACACATGAACGTATATATATACATAAAATAATAACTGAATTTGCACAGAGGCATCACAGAGCAAATAAAAAATGAAAACGTACCAATTAAAAAGATGGCATCTGATGCAGATTTTCCAAACTGCTGTTCCACATATTTGGGCATGAATGATAACATACCATTGAAGGCATTGAACTGTAACACAGTTATGCATATAAATAACATATAAACTGGGTTGTGAAGCAGAGCCTTGAGGAAGGGGATGAAATCTGGAATGAAATAACATAATGAGTTAGTGTGATGCGCTATGAAAAGAATCACACAGTGCTTAGTGTAGATGAGGGAGGAAAAGTGAAACAGAAATAGACCTTAACTGGATCAGGCTAGTCCTTGTGCTTTACCAGACACCACAGGCCAAAGATTACTTGCTTAGCCCAGGCTACCCCAACATATTGTTTCTACACATACATAACCTCACACACAGACACATGCACACCAATGCATGCTGCTTCTTATTTAAAAAAAAAAATAAATAAATAAAAAAAAAATCACAGTGATAACCTTATAGTACAAGTTTCCTGAAGCTTTTTAGCTGTACAGTGACTGAACTTTGCCCTTACAGATTTGCAGCTGCAAATCTTTTTCTCCCATCTTTCCTACTGCTCTTTCTCTCATTCCTTGCCCTCAGACCATTCAGCAAACCCCCTTTCCTGAACCTGGCATGAAAAGAAAACACAAGGGGGAAGGGGTATAAATCCACTAGATAGCTGTGACAACCTGCCCCCAGGTTTGATCACTGATTTCGATTATTTATTATTTGCTATTGTGAGTGGTGGGGCGGAAGAGGCCTTTTCTCACCAGACCAGTATATTACTCATGGATTCATTTAAGTCTACATGACAGCAGAGGAAGATGCTATGTCGTATAAAAATGAAGTTGTAATATCAGCAGAGATCTGAGTGTTCACACCAAGTACAAATGGTGAATTTGCAGAACTCATCTTGAAATACTTATGAGAGGTAGCCGAGAGCACTTACTTTCTGAAAATTAAGATCCTGTTAAGGGGGCCTGGGCTGGGTATACAGAATCATAAGACTACTCTGAAGATCCTAGCCTTTGACATATTTTATTCACTTACATTTCCAACTAGTACAAAAAATGGAAGGAAAAAAATAGCTTCCTACAGATACATAGATCTAAAAGACCACAGATGTGAAAGCTGCTAGTGGTAACATGAATAAATGTAAATCAAATAGATCTTAAATGTTTATGAGACACTTAAGCACCTGTAAATTCCTTTTTATGCTTTATGTTGGACTCAAGAAATGCACAAGACTTGAGCTGCTTTTCTGCACACTGAATGTGAGGTACAAACAACTAATATCTGTAACTTATTCACAGCTCACTGAGTTGTAATATTCTTTACCAGATTTCAGTGCATTAATCCTCTACCGGGAAAAATAGATCCAGATTCTACATACACCTGAAAAGCAGGAGAGGGAAAGGAGTGAATTTAGTTCCTTGAGCTACAAAATTATCTTTCTTCCTCTGTGAGACACCATTCTAAATGCCTGTGCAAATCCTTTAAACTGCAGAGAGATGAAAAACAGAGCATGCGTTTTATATCTTGGACCCATCTTTACTCACAAAAATACACATAGTTCACATCTTAAGTTTCTAAATTAAAAAGGGAAAGAAAGACAATATAACTTGCCTTTAGCAATTTCATACATAGTCTGTTTGGCTTCATTTTTATTATTTTCTTGCAATGGTACTACACTTTTTTTACTTGTCTCCACAGATTCATTGCTTTCTCCTTCCCTCAAGAGTGACCTTGGCAAAAACCAAAAAGGTATTCCCGCAAGAAGATTCAGTGATGCACAAATCAAAATGCCCAGCCACCAAGCTCCAACCCAGCGGGCATCAGTAGCTGCTATAGTTATATTCTCTACAAAAAGAAAAAAAACGAAACTCAGACATGTTCACAAATATTCACCGTGTTTTCTCCTAGCCATCTCTGAGATGTGATATAAGTATTTTAAAGATTCTTAAAATTAGGCTGATCAAAGAAAATAGTCTCCAGTCTTTTTTTTTAATGTTGCAAAATAGTAAATTTCAGTGTTTTGTATTAAATTCTAGTCCTTTCTTATGTTAAGCCAGATGACACAATTGTTCATCAAATAATTTATATGCAGGTTCATTTGTGTATGTGTGAATTCAGGCCTTTTATTGAATTGAATGTTATACACAGATTTTCCATTCTAAAAGAAACACCAGCAAGCTCAGATAAAATTAAGACATCCCATATTAGCAAAGAAATATCTTTCAGTGCTGAAAAATACACCAGCATGCCTACTGATTTATATGTAGGATTTTATATATTCATCCATTACCTGCATCTACCGATCCCAGATCAACAAACAGTTCTGCACAGAATGATGCCAACAACAAACCAAGGAAAGGGCCAATTACAGTTGCTGTATGTAGACATCCTAAAGTATGAAAAGGAGAAAACATACTAAATTAGAACCCAAACATAATAATTTTCTTGGAATTATTACATATGTTTAGGACAGTCTACTGAATAGTCTTCTGCACCTAAAAATGGCCTCATTTCAACAAGTTCATCTGTAGTTAAACACAAGTTCTACAGTGTTACTATGTTGACAAGGCAATAATATGTTTTCTCCATTTATCAGACTGAAGGAAATCATAACAATCTTTTCTTTTGCTTTTGTTTACATATTTGTTAGTTTGGAGGAGGGGAGTTATCACAATCGGGTAGTCTTACCCAGATAGAAGGGTGAATTCTCTGCTTTGGCAAAATCCTCCAAATATGAAATTCCTAAAGGCATGATAGGAGTTTCACCCATTCCACGTACTATGTTTCCAACCATCACAAATATCCACAGCAAGGACCCAGGCTCTTTTTCACATTCTGTGAATAATATAAAAAAAAAACAGAATTAATGTTTTAATTCTAACCATTAATTAAATTCTAGAAACAAAAATTTGACTAACAGATTGAACTTTGGTAGGTAGGTCTGTCCTGTAAAACGGGAGAATAAGTAGTCACAATACTTAAAAGCCTCCAGAACTGGAAGAAGCACTTCCTGGTGAAGAATTTAAATCCCTTCCCTCTCCATGCCATACCTTGTCCAACCACTGCATAACCATGGCCCTTCCCTTAACTCATTTCCCTCACCAAAACTGCCATTTTTATGTCAGTGAAGAGAAGACAGCATCTGAACCTCAGTGATGAAGGGATGAAAAGTCATGCCCGACTAACCTGATCACTGTCTACAACAAAGCTGCACAATTTAGAAGAAATGCTTTACCTACTTATACCTTAATTTGTGCATTTAGAAAAGAAAAACAATATCTGAAATGTTTAAATGAAAGTTTAATACCAAGCTATTAAGTATGCACTTTTTCCAGCTTTCCCTTATGAAGATGGCAAAATTAATGCCTTTAGTGACATGCAGTCTTGGAAAGCTTGGAATCACATCCATTACTAAATGGAGACACAGAAAATTACAGCACTATGGTTTGACGTCACTGTGTTGACACAATATTACGGCAGTGTGATTCAGCTTTAACACACATTGATGGAACACCATGACAAAATGTAACAACTGTGAGGTTCATCTCGCTTAACTTTTGCCATCCAGCAATCATCTAAGTTTTCAACAGTCAGCAGGTGCATCCAGGAGGTAGTGTGACTCACCCTGAAGTACAGAGCATTAATGTCCTTACAGCAAATGTACAGCTTGAAGAGCTCTGTAGTCTCCTTTGACCAGCTATCAAGGGATCTTAAAAAGAGAGATCAGACTAAATGCTTCCCTTTGAGGTAGCTAAAGGGTCAGGAGATTAATCCCATCCTCAGTGTGAGGATTTTGTGTATGATGATTTGATAGTTGCCTCTTAGCCTTTTGACTTTATAGTAATTACTTTATATGCATATTGCTAGTGAACATACATGGTTCAGTCTCCCAGATAAGTTTTAGCCCAGTTTAAACTATTTTCACTTTTCTCTAAATGGAAGTGGGATCTATCTCTTTTCCTCGTTCTTTTAGTTCTTGTGTGATACAATGAAGAAGCATCCTGGTCCAGATTAATCATTGCCCAGATGTGTTTCCCACCTCCTCATAGTATCATAGTAGTTCAAGTCAAAAAGAGAACATTTGTAAGAACAACTTGGTGCTGTATTTCCCCAAAGCATACTGACAGGGATGTTAACTGAGCAGTTTGAATACTGTGAAAACTGCATAAAAAAAAGCACTACAGCTCTCATGTCAGAAAATAAAGAAACAAGAAGGCTAGGAAATTTCCTGAGCTCTGGTTTTTATGTCTGCAAAAAGTACTGATCAAAAGCAGAACCTTGAAATAATTGCTATTAAAAATAAATTGTGTTTACTTAAACACTATAAAAACTAAGGGAAAAAAATATTATTAAACATAGGAAGACCCATACCTCTTGATGGCTCCTCTGTAGGTAAAGAGAACAAACTTTGATTAACAAGGCAGAGAGGCATGACTGAAAAATTCTCCTGTTGTGAAATGCTGCTTTCAATACGATACCTATTTGAACCAAAGGAAAGCATGCATTGGTTAAGAAGAAATACCTCAGAACCATCTCATAAATCTGTAGTTCAGTAATGAAGTGACCTATAAGAAGAGTGTGTAGCTGTAAGAAGAAGAAAATGTTAAAAATTTACAGAGCCTCAATAAGAAATCAGACTAGGAACAAAGGAACTGTAACAGGAAATCAACACAGCACTTTATTCAGGCTGTTATCTAGCCTCTAAGATAATCTTGTAACAGATGCTACAGGGGGAATTGATGAAACACTCTAATGAAATCCCTTGTATTATTCTCTCTTCTATTATTCTTCCATTCTAACTCAATTTGCACCCTAGGCAGAGGAGGCCACCAAGGCTGTCAGAGCAATACCACATTGGACATAACAAAATTAGAGGATCTGTCATCCAGGCTCCAGACCAAAGACATCCTTAAAAATCATTGTACTGCCATCCAAGTAGATAAGAGCTAGTAGTGTAATGTAATACTATCACAGGCCACTATTTCTTCAGGGAGTTCACAAGGCATGTGAGGCAGCACAAGCATGTAGGCAAGGGCAAGGGCAAGTGCCTTCCTTTCCTTTGGAGAGGGGTGGCTTTCCTCAGGAAGTGATGACTGAATTCTGAAGCCATCTCAGAAGCAAAACAAAACAAGCTGCTTTACAGTCACCACATCATTCTGGTGCTCAGCAATGTCTCTCTCAATAAGTAATACTATTTCAGCTGGAGAAGTTACAGATTAAGACACATAAGGATCACAGAAGCTGCTCTGAGCTAAGCAAAATACTCACCTTCCAAATAGGAAATGAGGAATTGATATTAAAAGACATCCAAACGACATAACTGTGCACCCCAAAGCAATTATTCTGGGTCTGTGAAGCTTTGCTCCAAAGTAACTCACAAATGCTATCAGCAGCAAGTTGCCTGCAAAAAGAACCTGGTTCATATTTACAAACCAAGGCATCCTTATATCTCCTAAAGTGCAACATGAATTTGAGTATACCTTATTAGTTCAACATTTGTTACTTCTCTTACCTTGTAAATCTGTAACTAGACAGGGAACTTCCTAAAGCAGTAATTCCCTGCTATCTGTGATCTTTTTCTAGAAGATTTAGACCACATAGAAAGAACATGAGAACAGAAGGCAGAATGGAAAAGAGATCACTGTGAGAGAGATTTTTGACTGCATCTATGTAAAGAATTTTCCCACTACTTTACATAAAAACCAAGCTCAGAGGCTGCAGAATAATGGGTAGCTTAGGAAGCTGTTCTCCTAGGATACTCTATTTTGCAATGTGTGGGAAAACACAGAGTCATATATTGCAAGGTTTCTTTGTACTGAAAATAATGAACACAAGATGACATACAGAGAAAAAAGAAATACTAAATTAATATTATTTTCAGTAATGGTTTGAAAGGAATAAAAAAATACATATTTTTGTACCTAGTATAATTTAAAAATACAAATGTGCTAAAAATCTTTGCTCTCCTCCGCTTTCACTTGAGAATCAGTTGATTTTCTCTGCTTTTCATTTATTGCTATGCAACTAGAGAATCAAGCTTCATGTTATGAATCAGGACCCATAAAAATAGAAATTTTGTAATCGTATACCTACTAATTTTGTGATCTTTTTGTCAAAAGAACAAAAATATCTCTGAGTGATGAGCATCATGCTTTGAAAGAAGATAACACTTTTTTTTTTTTATGTGTGATTGCTAGACAAACTGTATTGAATCAGTGGCTTGAATGACACTTAAAGATGTATACTTACATGGTCCTAGTAAATTATTTAAGTCTTCCATATATACTGACTCTTAACCATTTCAAATATTATTATGATTCTTCACCTTTACATCGTTGGAGATAAGAATGCCAAAATTTGTTATAGAAAAGTGCATATGAAGATAAATTATTTAAAATAATAATCCTTTTACATGCTACTTCATTAATCTTGGCCATTTCATATTTCTTAAAGTCTCCATCTTATCAAAAGCAAGAATATATTCTGGGTATTCTTTCTTTATTTCAACTTCGGGCTGCCCCATCAGACTGCTTTACAGGCAGCAGCAAAGTGTTGCTAAAACATTCTTATTCTTGCACATGCAGATATAGGAGACCAGGAAAAGGGAGACAGAGCCTTACCTCCCTTCTCCATCAGTATATATGAACCTGTGCAGACCACTTCCTCAGCTGAGCCAGGGATACTAAAAATCCACATTGTAACTTTAAGGGTATAAACCACATCCTTTAGGGATCTCTATAGAGGCATGTTTGAAGCTAACAAGACTTTTGCTCAGCTTTTTTCACAATGACAAAATATAAGCTTATCACTAGGCAATAAAACTCACTGACAGGCAAGGTGTCACTAAAAGTAGAACTGAAAACCTTCTTTACAGTTGTTCAAGTATAAAATCTTGAAATACTATTAAGTTTCAGTAAGGAGATTATCTACTCCAATCAACTTTGAGGTCACTGATCAGAAGAGCTATAAAACGGTAAATATGACCTTGAATTCAAACAAAGATTATAAAATCTTTCTGGTTTGTTCAGAAAGATTCAATACAAATCTCTTAAACTGGTTTTATTTTGTTACTTGCTCTGTAATATCTTATGCTAGTGCAGAAATTAGATGAACCAATTTTTAATCCTAAACTTCAGCATTTATGATCTCCTCCTAGTTTCCAAAACACTAAATGTGTAAGTACCAGCTGAAACAGTAGGATACTTGGTCACTATTGCCACATAAGAGTAATTGACAGGTTGCTATGAACTTGAGAGTCACAAATACATGCTGAGCCAACATATTATATTTTTAGAGAATAAGAAATATTAAAATGAATGCTTACCTATTTCAAAGCTTCCATTAATGATCCCCACTAAGGAAGCTGGAATATTAAATTGTTTCTCTAGCTGTGTAAACAAGCTGTTCATGTAAGCACCTGACATTGTTTTACCAACAAATGCAAGTGATAGTGCCAGCAGAAATACCTAGGAAGGAAAGAGGAGAATGCATAAAGAATTATATATATTTAGGAATATTCCATGGTTATCTTCCCCACCAAATATGTCTTCCAGGTAAAACAAGTGAACAGTTTTGTTCCACTGATATGTGGGTAAATATCATCATCATATCCTTGTCCACAGTTGTGGCTTCATTAAGCCAAAGATTTTGTTCTTCATCTACTCCCATTGACCAAGACTGTCTTCAGAAACCTTAAACTCTGTAAAAAATATATATAGTCAAGACGGGAGCAGCACAGCCTCTCCTACCTTGTGTCTGCTGCAAGATTGCCATCTGCAGGACTAAGTAACGTCTGCAGCCAGACCAGGATGTAAAGATCTTTGCACCCTTTGCTCATCTGAATGACAAAGTAATTGCAGAGATAATATCGTTTCCTTTGATCGAACTACTTGATCAAGTATCTGCTCTCCCATCTCAGTAGAGGTCATGAGCCGGGAACAAGACATTTCAAACAGAAGTAAATAGCAGATAGGAGTAGTGTCCTTTTTACAAGAATGTAGTAGCAATTGACAGTAAAAACCAGTAGCATTAAAATAATTTTAGGGTTCTCAAACATTTCAAACAATGAAATCAACAGCATTTTTAAATACATCTGCAAATGCTAAAAAGTATAAGTAATGTATTCAGGTTTTGAATTGCTATTCAAACCAAGCTATTTTACAATTTTTTATAGTGCTTCTTGACAACTTGAGTAGTCTACGGTACATCAACAGCCAACTTTTACCGCCATGTCACAATCAGTAAAGGCTCATTTCAGAGGTTTTAGAAGAAATGGTAAACACGTCAGACTAGGGAGATTACACAAATTCAGAGGTGGAGCTTCAAATGAGCAATCAACCGTACCTCCAACACATTACAAAGGGTAAAGTTCAGGGACATAAAAAGCAACACATGATAGCTGACAAACTTGCTTGACCTCAGTTAAGGCGTTAAAGATAAGGAAAAAAAAGTAACTTCTACCAAACTACTACAAGTGCAAGCAATTATAGTTGTGTGTTCCTACAAAATGATAAAATATTTTTGTACCTTCAGCTTGGAAATGCAGCAAAATTTGTCCCCTGCACCTTGCTTCTCAGCTTCTGTCATGTTGCTTTCTATAATTGGTCCTGATGTCTAAGTCTGTCCGATGATCCCATTACAGTGTTAAAAAAAAACGACACAAAAGAAACAAAGAAACATTTTTGTTCCATGTTTGCAAAACATCAGATTCATTCTAAGATATTTCATACTTGAGTGTCTTCCTTAAATAATTGTGAACTGGATTCCAAAAAATATACACTTCATTCTAAACAAGAAAATTTGACTTGAATGTCAACAGCATAACAGCTAGCCCTCAGTCCTCATCAGATACTGAATGATTTCAGTGCTATACAACCATTAAGCAAAGAACAGAGGAAAGAAATGTTCTGAGGGCAAGCTGGTTTGTCTGTGACACAGTTTTTTAGCCCTTTTCACAAGCATTTAGTACTGACCACATGGGAGACCGAACTATGAAGACGCATACATTTGACTGGTGTATACCTGTCTCTGTGGTCTTTATTTACTGTGCCTGTCCTTGCTAGTCATAAAAAGAACAATTAGTTCTTCTCTGCATGTTCAGCTGAGCCCTCTCCCTTCCACTGGCATCAATGTAAATTTGTTAATTTTAATATAAACTGTATTGGAGACCAATCTCTTGGCATTAAAACTAGAAATAAAAATAAAACAAAAACCACTAGACCAATTTAAGTTCTAAATGGAAACAAACCAGATTCTGCTCTCCTTCCCCCCCCAAGATCTGCAAAAATTCGTCTGTCTCCTTTTAGTCATCTCCATCTCGACATCATGGCTAGAGCTTCTGGTAGTGCTAAGTCACCTGCTTTCTTACACATCTTACATATTTCCCAAAATTGTGCTCACAGAAGGAACAGTATATTCCATGGACTTGGAACATACCTGTAAAAGTCCCTATACATCTGAGGGTTAGCACAATGAGTTAAACAGAGAGAATACCATTTTAAAGATTTATCTCTAAGGACTGTCACAAGGCTTCATTAAACCAAGTTATTCAACACAGTTCCCTGCTGCCTGATGGGGTAAGCTGAAGAAAAACAGGGCAAGTCAGAACCCTACCTTATAGTTGGGGTGCATATAGGTTAATTTCCTCTTTTTTTTTTTGTCTCAGATACACTTTCCAAGTACAATCTTGCAGCACCTGCTCTTCTCTATGTTTTCCACTTCATAAAGTCATGTCTGGGAAGCAAGCCGTCTTTAACAAGCCTGCCAACAGAACTGAATCGTCTTTCACATTCTTTAACCCAACATCCTCTCAATCAATCTCTTAAAATACTAATTTCTACAACAATGTTAATCCTCTCAAATCCTAGCAAATTCATGAGCATTAACTCCTTCTACAGGTAACTCCTTACTTGGAGTTTCAAAAGTGTATAGCATTCCCAGAAACACTTTACAATTAAGGTGGTGAGCAACTCAGACAATTATCATTGATATATAAACAGTATGCTTTGCTTGAAGATGTTTACACAAACTGTGCTCAATCACAGTACAAAAATGTGCTTATACAGGTTTGCACCTTCTTTGCAATTTGGCATAATAGTTTATATCCCAGTGAATCATTTATCTTAATACTATTTTATTCAACAGCAGCCCACCCTGTTTTAGCAGATACAGTTCAAATTGTTACTCAAATGCAATTACACTAATGTTAGATAAAGGAAAATATTCTCAGGGCAAAACAATTAAGTACTTACAGTTTTTTAAAGGTCTGCAGAAGAAATGACTGATATCGTACCCTTAAACTTTGACTTTTAGTCCAAATTGTTGAAAATTAACCCAAGTCTATTTACTGCAGAATTTGTAATTTTGCCAAATGGTTTCAGTTGTGCATTTTAGAGTACTCACTCAGATGTTAAAGACACCAGTTGACTTCTTAAGAAAAAAATTATGCCCATCTCTTCCTCTTCCCCACCAAAAAAGGCCAAGAGCGACAGCTGTGTCAGATCCCCTAGCACAAAGCGATGACACTCTTGCCCACTGAAGACATCAGAGAGTACTCACAAGCAAGAAAGGAACTTTAAATGTGCACATAACTGTAAGTTTACAGACTAGGTGGTGTCCTAGCAAAGGGTGACACAGGGTCAGACTGGAGGAGGAGAATGAGTTTGTGTCTTGAGAGGGTGCCCAAGACTCGAATTAATGTATGAAAAGCAGCCCTGGCACACTACAATCATTGGCCTCTTCTTGGTGGCTTGGAACGGTCTGAAAGAAAGTGTAGCCCTTCCCTGTTGATATAAAGCACTTGGTAGCTCAGCTGTGAGGCAGAACTGCGTCTGAATCAAAAACGGAGAAAATTACTTCAGACCTTGAAGCAGAGAGGCATAAAATCACTCTTGTCAGCAATCCCAGCTCCTGATCATCAGTGTTTCTTCTCACTGTATCAGTCTTTCTGGGTCTATTTTTGAAGTATACAAGTTTAACGACATATACTGAGGTGTTAATTCTAAAAGGGGGCAAGATCCTAATAACTAGCCACTGCAACAATCATTAGGAGCACCCTTTCCTTTGGGACTTTTGTTGCATGATGATGGTTCACCATGAAAAAGTGGAAGACAAAAAAGCCACCCATAGCAATATAGCTGCTGTGATTGATCTTCAGGGTAGGTGCTGCTAATTACTGATTACTGGACGTTACAAATACAGAATAGTTTGACCAAGTGTAAATATTTCTAGCTAACGTGACAAGAAAAAGATTACATACCTTTGAACAAATTGGGTAGACATCACATCTAAGAATCTGTAGATACGCCAAGTACTGGTGCTGAAGCTTAAGCCTCTTGTTGACACTTGTGTTTGTCTCCCTTCATGTAATAACTACTAATGCACATTGAAAGCCTACATGCAAAGTCTAAAAAGTGTGGTGAAGGTGGGATTGTGTTTAATGAAAGCCTGGCTTTTGAGAACAGCTCCCATAGAGTATTTCTCGGCTTTCTCAGGGAGCACCCAGCCTTCCTGAAAAACGTCCCTGTACTACCACATACCCTGTGTGGTTATGCTTTGGGGAGGGGGAAATAACACACTGATAAGATACTTGGCATTTTTGTTACACAATATGTTTTTGTTTCACAAACTTACAACTTTACTGCTGTACTGAAAAATGTTTTGTAGACTCTCAGCTGATGCCTTGAGACCACTAATGGCTGAGGATCTTGGCCTGCTTCAGTACCACACCGTATCACGAGGCATTTCTTATAAAAAAGTTCAAGATTGTAAATTTTGGGGAGCATATCTACTCAGTTCTCATTAGAAAACTCAGAACATTAGAAAAGTTCTCAAGTGAAAAACTATTAGCATGCTTCTCCCCCATAAAATATGCATTTCTTAAGAGCTATAGTGCTGCTTTCTGTTCTCACTTCATGATAATCTCCAAATCATACCTGATGGCTATCTGTACTGGGATTTTGCTTATACAGTTTAACTAGAAATATAAGTCCTGTTTCAACTTTTGATTTCCTTTAACTAAAATCTGAGGTAAAGTCTTATTTCCCACTAAGATATTTTGAAGGTTTACTTGCATTTTATATTTTCTTCATTGCCACTTCCAGAAAATTAAAAATCCTCTGACAAAGTAAGGATATATAAAAACAGTGGTCTGAGTTCTGCCACATCCTGCATTGCATTCACAGAAGACTGTGCAATAAGAAAGCCACAGTGAACTCAGGTAGAAAATGGCCGAGTATAAGGTTCCCTTGACTCCCCGTGGCCATCCTTGCTTCCTTTAATAAAACAGCTGACGTGTTCAAGGCCAGTTTGGACAGGGCTTTGGGCAACCTGGTCTAGCGGAAGATGTCCCTGCCCAGGGCAGGGGGGTTGGAACTCAGTGAGTTTTAAGGTCCCTTCCAACCCAAATCATTGTGTGATTGTATGATTCGGGAAAAGGATGCTGCTTACCAAAATAGCAGTTGTTCAACAGTGTATGCCAACAACTAAGTAATATTCATTCAAGTGTAAAGTGACTTCTCTCCATGTGCAACATCCCTCCGTGCATAACTAAGCCTTATTCTACGTAACAGAGAAGTCTCAGTGTCATTAGAGCATTAGCCTTGCTTTTCATGAAAAATATCTAAACTTCAATATTCTAACGGTAACAGCTATGAAAATCTGATTGCAAGCACTTAATCAAAAGATATGGCTAGAATAATGCACAGAGAATTTGTTACATATTTGTCTTAATTGATTAGAAACTAGAACTGAAGATCTCAGTTTAGGTGCCTTTATACCCTGTGTTTAACTATTACAAGGATTTACCAGTCCTTTTTTCTTTCTCTCTTACCCCATCTATTTTTTAAATATTTCATCTCATAACTACTTGTAGAATATATTCTTTATATATTTTATATTTTAATCCATGTCTATCTGGGGGGTGTACACACCATGATTTTGTCTATAGAGGTCCTTATTTTCAAATCTCCTTATTCATAATAATTATTTAAAAGTGAGCTTCTGAGATGCATGCAAGAATTTTCAGCATCTACAGGAAATAAACTAACCACTGCAATTAAAGTCATTGGCTAGGAATTTAATTAATCATTGAATAAATAACCATTACCTGAACTTTGATGAGATAAAAAGCCATACTACCATCACATAGAGAACTGTGTAATTCTACAATCTCAGAAAGATTATTTTGTTCAACAGTTTCCGCTCAGGGTTAATAAAACTGAAGACTCAGATCAGCAAATGGATTACAAAAACTGGAAAGCAAAAATTGCAGTCAAATAAACACCTTCTTATAGCAGGCACTTAACAATTTGCTTTAAATACTTATCTCCGATTCAGGGAAAAAAATTACCCAGGTGGTTACTTTAGTTTAAGTGACCTATAGCATGTGCCTACTATCATAAGATTTTCTAGCTCCACTTCATATAACTTTGTTTTTAAGATTTCCCCTAGAATTCATCAATAATTTGCATTTTAGAAACTTATGACATTGAAAAGAAAAAATAGTAAAGGGGAACAATAGGAAAATACAGGTTATCTTTTTAAAAGCTGCAGTACCTCTTCAGGATGATGGACAAGCTGCATGCATCGGCTTATCTCAACTGACTTTTGAGGTTTAAATGCCTTTTTTCCTAAAATTCACATAGCCCATTATAAAAGATTTACTTTCATTCATCACACTTAATTTTGGTCACTTCATATTAGCATATTTGCAAAGTGTCTTACAGTAGGAACCTAAGTGCTGAACATTGATGGAAGTCAAAAGAACTTCACTTATTGATGTGCTTAAGTATGAACTGAGTTTAGCTTTAAAAGCAAAATGAAGGAATGGATGCTTCAAGGGCATGTTCCTTTGGACACATACATACAAACAAACACAGACAAACGTATGCACACTAACAAGAGTTTTCCCAAGGACTGTCTACATTCAAACCTCTCTGGTGTTCTGTTTGTCTGTAGCACCATGAGAAAGGAAGTACTATTGGAATTATATCAATATTCGCTTCATGGAGAAAGTGTCTTAGAGACTTCTGCTTACAAACAAAAAAGACTACTAGTATCTATCTATACATTTGGATCCCCAGTCCTGGAGGAAAGAAAAAGTCCTTTTACAGGGGTAAAAAAGAAATAATACCTATGAAAATACTGGAAATACCCAGTAATATTTAGCTGCCTGAGAGTGCTGGAAAGCTTTTCTATTTTTTTTCAGGCTTTTTGAAATCTGAAGAATGTTAGGGGAACTTTTTTAGGATAAGTGTGAATTCTCAGTCTTAAGGTAGGTGATTGTAGCCTGCTTACATGGCCTGTGTGCATAAAAAAGTACCTAAAGGAATAATCCCATTATGCCCATACCTGGGCACTTTAGTGACTTCTGTGAATTTTCAGAGTTTGGATGTGCTTAAGTGACACTGGGAAGCACCTACCATGCAGATCTTGACCTTTGTAACTTGCTTTTGTTTCAGCAGAGATCCTTCAGCAGCAGGGTACTGAATGAAGGTAAGGAATCTCCCCAGCAATTTGCCAGCGATCAGCAACATGCACAAATTAAGTACCTCTCAAAAAAACCCAACAAAAAACAGCAGTAGAGATATGAAATTAAAATATGTTCACAAATGCACAGTTTAATATTCAGCAAATTAATGTAACATTCTGTGCATATAGAATTCAGAATCTCTATTGTGATTAATTCATGGATAATGTAGCATTATAGAGAATCTTTGATGTCTTAGTATATTGAATTCCCACCTTCTCCATGGGATTTCTCCTAAAGGCCATATTTGCACAAAGTTCACTGCTTCCTGCATTACCAGCCCAGACCTGAGAAACTGAGACTACAAGTAAATTTTTCTGGCTGGGGTACTCTGATCATTATAATTCAAGGAAAATACCTTGAAAGAGTCAAATATTTGGCTTATAGAAGCAGGCAGACCCTATTCTTAGCAGGTACTTTTGTTGAAGATCCTCATCTAGGATCTCACAATAGGCATTAGAAAGAATCAGGTATTTCCAGAGTGTAATTCATCCCATCTTAAGGCAGCTGTCTGAAATAAGTGGGAGGAAACTGTCTCTGGAGGTGCTTCTTTCTTCCCTGTCCTTTGAAAGACTAGAGAGCTAGCTTAGTCTAGCTAACTAACTTTTAGACACATAAAAATCAGGTCAAATGACACCTTGTCATCTCTCCTTATATCATCCTAGGTCTACTCATCAGCCAGCCAGCAGCTCCCAGCCTAAGGTCAGGACACTCATACAATTGCTTTATGAAAGCTCAGAGGAAACTCAAATGGATAAATGGTATGTTTATGGAAATCAGCAGAAGATCTCAGTAAAAAAATGCAGAGTTGATGTACATCTATTGGTCCTACTCTAAATGGTAGATGTAATGATTTTACCTGCCAAAAATACAGAAGTCACTGCTGGTTCCACTCTAAATACAATACATGATTTTGGAAATGCTGAGGACTAAGTAGCTCTTTCCCAGTACTGCAGTTGTAAACAACCATGAATGTAGCTAATTTGAGCACTATAGCAATCATGGGTTGTACATCCCATAGGATATAGCATGGCAACCCAATAAAAACATTGTGA